TGTTTTTTTCTTCTTTATTTGCCTGATAATTAACCACTGTCTACCCAGTGAACAACTGATATTCACGGGGGAATATCAACCTAATCATCAACAGTTATTTATTGAGAAAGCGACATGTTCCTTGGAGTGTTTGTTCAATTTGTTATTTATGAAATATTCGTTAAATTGGAATCAGCCTTAAGCTAACTACATGGAGAACATCAATTAAGCTTTTGAAAATAAGTATCCCTGAAGTACTTAGCGTTGTAAGCCGTAATAGAGCCTTATTTTGGTTTGTAATGTAAACAGATGAGTATCTGAAAATCATAAATCCAACTAAATTACTTCTTCACTGTATACAGATGTTGCTCACCAGGACAGGAAACGGAAAGAAAACGCTAGCTCACCACGAGGCGTCTGGAGGAACGAAATTTCAACTGTGGTTTCACATCTCAAGTCAAGTGACTTTGCCTCAGCTCTTCAGTCTGCACAACGTTCAACAGACACCACACGAAAGCTCTTTGGAGAAGAGGACCCTAGCACAGCTAACATGTATTTGTTACTTGGGAGCCTACAAAGGCACGAAGGTAACTTTACATCAGCTCTTCACTCCTCCCAGCTTGCACTTTACATAACCCGAAAGTTGTTCGGCGAAGCACATTCAGACACAGCCCAAAGCTACTTTTCTCTTGCGCTCGCACAACATTCTTTAGGCGATTATGATTCAGCACTTGAGTCTGCCAAGTGTGCCCTGGACATCAGACGACAGTTATTCGGCGAGGATGACTCAAACACCGCAGAGAGTTACTATGTTTTAGGGGTCTTACAGCATTCCATGGGTAAATATACCTTAGCCCTTCAGTCTAAACAACGAGCCCTTCACATAAGAAGAAAGTTGTTCGGCGAGGAACACTCAGACACAGCTCAAAGCTACGATTCCGTAGGGGTCACACAACATTCCTTGGGTCATCAAAGATCATCCCTTCATTCTAAACAGCGAGCCCTTGACATAAGAAGAAAATTGCTCGGCGAGGAACACTCAGACATAGCTCGAAGCTGCGATTCCGTAGGGGTCACACAGCATTCCTTAGGTGATCTTACATCAGCCCTTCAGTCTAAACAACAAGCCCTTGACATAAGAAGAAAGCTGTTTGGCGAGGAACACTCAGACACAGCTCGAAGCTACAAATCCATAGGGGCCACACAGCATTCTATAGGTGATCATATATCAGCCCTTCATTCTCAACAGCGAGCCCTTGACATAAGAAAAAAGTTGTTCGGCGAGGAACACTCAGACACAGCTCAAGGCTACGATTCCGTAGGGGTCACACAGCATTCCTTAGGTGATCTTACATCAGCCCTTCGGTCTAAACAACGAGCCCTTGACATAAGAAGAAAGTTGTTTGGCGAGGAACACTCAGACACAGCTCGAAGCTACGATTCCGTAGGGGCCACACAGCATTCCTTAGGTGATCTTACATCAGCCCTTCATTCTCAACAGCGAGCCCTTGACATAAGAAGAAAATTGCTCGGCGAGGAACACTCACACACAGCTCAAAGCTGCGATTCCGTAGGGGTCACACAGCATTCCTTAGGTGATCTTACATCAGCCCTTCGGTCTAAACAGCGAGCCCTTGACATAAGAAGAAAGTTGTTTGGCGAGGAACACTCAGACACAGCTCGAAGCTACAAATCCGTAGGGGCCACACAGCATTCCTTAGGTGATCTTACATCAGCTCTTCATTCTCAACAGCGAGTCCTTGACATAAGAAAAAAGTTGTTCGGCGAGGAACACTCAGACACAGCTCGAAGCTACGATTCCGTAGGGGCCACACAGCATTCCTTAGGTGATCTTACATCAGCCCTTCAGTCTAAACAACGAGCCCTTGACATAAGAAGAAAGTTGTTCGACGAGGAACACTCAGACACAGCTCAAAGCTACGATTCCGTAGGGGCCACACAGCATTCCTTAGGTGATCTTACATCAGCCCTTCATTCTAAACAGCGAGCCCTTGACATAAGAAGAAAGTTGTTTGGCGAGGAACACTCAGACACAGCTCAAAGCTACCATTCCGTACCC